AGTTTGCTGTCATGAATTTAAAGGGTTAACAGCATGGCTTTATATTCTTCTCCAGCTGTGTGTACTTGCAGGGTTATAGGGACATGAAGGCAGAGAGCTGGATTTAACCACGAATGTGGTTTTGTGAGGTAAGTAGGAAAAAGGGAGCGAGAGCATCGGGAGAGCTGAGAATGTACAGAAGGGAGGGATGGACCTTGAACTCAATGCTGGTGAGTGGAAGTGAGGACATGAGGTTGGTGAGGGGCAGTGAAAAGGTGGTAGGATCAATAGCTGTTGGTACTGGTGAAGTAGAAAAATCGTGCGAGTTGGGATGTGAGGAGGAGTGCATTGGATAGATAGGAAGTGGTGGCTGGAGAGTGGGGTGCATGACAGGTTATGGAGTGGTCACAGGTATTGATAATCACAGATAGGACCTTAAGAATAAGGGGAGAGGTAAGATGGAGAGGAAATCTTGAGGGGGAATGGAGGGCAAGGCACTGAGGCCAGGGTATTGTTAACTGTTGACAACACAGGGATTTTCACAAAGGAGTGTTGGAAAGAAGTCTCTGGGAAGAGAGAGGCAAAGCCTTCACGGACTGAGGGGGATCCACGTGCAGGGAGCCACAGATCACTGTAACAAGGAGGAGTAGTGGGTGCTGTAGTTTCGAGACGTGAGATTCAGATCAGGAAAGTGGTTAGCAAGGAGGCAAAGAGAATGTTCTGGAAGAGACAGCAATTTAGAAGCAGCAGTGAGGAGCAGAGAGGTGCCCTCCTGGCCCAATGGCATAAGGAGGTATGGGAGGAAAAACCCCAGCCACTTGAGAGGGCTGTCAGGATAGCAGTGTCTTCAGAGAGGGAACCAAGTTTTTGTTAAAGCATGAAGGGGAAGGGACTGCTCAGAGAAGGCTCTGAGGATGTGAGAAGATTTTGCTACTGATGGTCAGTGGGTTGCAGGGAATAGAATAGAAGGGTTTCAAGAATTGGGGAGGGGCAGGAAATGGGGGCAGATTAGGGGATGTCTGCAGCCACATGGGGATTAGAGTTCAGGTATGGAGGGGTGACCTAGGAGTCTTGGGCTTCTTCTGGTGATGGAAATAAACAGGGATGCAGGGCGCAGTGGGATCAGTGGTCTCCGTGGCAGAGTATGGTGGTGCGGCTGTCAGGATTGCGGGGTGGGGGGAAGGAGGTTGGGGATCTTGCTGTGGACAGAGTCCATGCACTTAATGTTTCAGGCAGTCTAACTCCAGAAGCGTGGAGAACTTTGCCACTCTGCTCTTTTGATGTTAAAAAAGATGTTGGCTTGGATGTGAGAAGGAAGTTAATGACCTGTGTAACTTAAAACATTTTTATTGCTTTTGACTTTCAGTTGCATCCATGTAGGATTTTGTCTGTAGCCTCAGGATCCCTCCAGCTGAAAAGGAACCAGGCTATGTTCATTAGAGTAGAGTTCCAGATGTGATTTCTGGAGGATAGAAATGAATTAACCAGGTGGAAAATTTTCTGGGGGAAGTATGGCATTTCACAGACATTGTTTGTAGAATGGGGAAAAGGGAGTTGGGGTGGCTTTGTGAGAAAGTTCCCAGAAATCAGCCCAGATTCAGTGCTTAGTAAAGAACTATCTTATCCAGGCTCAGTGGCACGTGCCTGGAATCCCAGCTACTTGGGAGGCTGAGGCAGGAGGATTCCTCGAGCCTAGAAGCTCAGAGATGTAGTACACTGTGAGTAGCCATCTGTGAGTAGCACCTGTGAGTAGCCACTGCACTCCAAGCCTGGGCAGCATAGTGAGACACTGTCTCTTAAAAAAAAAAATGGAGAAGAAGAACTGCCTTTTTTCTTCCCTATTGCTAAATGGCTTCTCGCCCCTTCCCCATGCCTATTGCTTCTTCTCTGGATTGTACTTAACTTCTCTGTGCCTTAGTTTCCTTCTGTCAAATGGGGATGGTCATAGTTCCTGCTTCACAGGAAAGTTGTTACAATTAAGTGAGATAACACAGGTAAAAGTATTTAACACAGTGCATTGTATATAATATAAGTACTTAAGAAACATAATTTGCCATTAAACGACAAATGGTAGGTTCTTGGCTCCCATTCAGTTCTCTTCTTACCACTAGTCGATTTCTTCTGATTTGCCCCCCCCCACTTCATCTGCTTCCTCCCTTCCTCTCCCTCTTTTCCCACGCTTCCTCCTTTTCCTGTTTCCTCTTTCCCCTTCCTGGCCCTGGTTGCCACTGGCAGCTGCACCCAGGTTAACCCTCTCTGTGGCCTCCCGAGGTAGGGAACTCTTGCAATAGGGGTGAGGCAGCCCTCAGAGGAGGGAAAGTGTTGGCGGGGGAAGTCAGGTGGCTACAGAGGTGTGGTGAGCCAGTGACAAGGGGCTCAGGAGCTGGCAGGCCTGTGTTGCAGGACAGGCTTGGCCACTGTGTGATGTGGGGCTGGGGTGGCAGAGAGTGGGCAGAGCAGACTAAGAAGGAAAGGATCACTTGAACAGGAAGGAGCTGGGCTGAGTCACCGTGTGGAAGGACAAGCAAGGACTTGCGCAAGTCCTGCCACTGCTTTTGCTGCTGATACCACTATTGTGAATACTACTCCCATTAAGAACAGCACTCCTCTGTGTCAGGCTTTTGTGGCAGGGAGGGGGCGGAGTAGCAGAGTGTGCCGGCTGAGACTATACATTCTAGGAGCCAGCCAGCTTGGATTTGAATCCTGGCTGTGACACCGAATGAGTGTGTTTCCTTGAGTAAGTTATCTAACCTCTCTGTGCCTCAATTTTTCATCTTTAAATGGAGATCATTGGTACAGTACAGCTGTTAGGAGGATTAGTTTGAATTAATGGTTTACAGAGTGCTTTTCACAGTTTCTGGAACTTAAGAAGCACTATATAAGTGTTGTATTTTTAAAAGTTTAAAAATTGTACAACAATCTTAGAACACAACAATTATTTCCATTTTACTGATGCCAAAACCAAGGTGGAGAGGTTAAGAGACTTGCCCGAGGCCACAGGACTACTGAGCAGCAGAGTCAAATCTAGAACACAGATTTCACAGACTCCAGAGTCCTAGCTTGCAACTGCAGTGCTTACCTGCCTCCCTGGACGTGCAGGTGAATACTTTGCTTTCTAGGAAGGTTGTAAGGGAGCGAGAGTCAGGTGGGTGCTGTGAGTACAGGTGGGTATTCAGCGACTGGAGCCTGAGAGGTCAGCAGAGGGACTTCTTGAGGATACAGTTGGGACCAGTGGCCACAGGCCCTTGACCTGGTTCTCTGCTCCCTGCTATGGGAAAGCAGCCTGGCTTCTCAGGCCCATTTTGCGGAGAGATCAAGTACCTTATGTACCTGAAGGTTCTCATTACAGCCAGAGAGCTGAGCCTTCCTGGGACTTTTTCCTCCTTGCCTGTCTTCCAGGTGACCTCAGTGATGTCAATTAACCCTTTTGCACCTCAGTTTCCTCATCTGTCAAGTGAGAATACTTTACCTTCCCACTGCATGGGGTTTTTGAGACACTGAGTAGATCATGGATGTGAAAACATTTGAAAAGCATAGAGCAGTACCCAAATTCTGGATAGTGGAGTGATCCCAGACCACATTACCGTGAGGGTCCAGTGTGGACCTGTCAGGCCTCCGTAGCTGCCTCGTGCTGGTGATGCCCAGTGTCAGATTTCATGACCTTTTCCAGCTGTTCCAGTGTGGTCTACAGAGATACTTGGAACCCCATCTCCTTTTCTGGATTCTTATGTTTCCCTTGTTGAACATAAAGTGACAGTTGAGCATCATTTGGGTCCCTGGGAAATTTTTCTTCTGCATAGATCTTTATTTTAAAGAGCCAGAGCCAGGGTCTGTGTCCAGAGATCACAGTTGTCCCAGCTCCCGTTCTGGGAGCTCTGCCATCTTTTTGGTTTCAGCCCTTGGCGCAAGGCACGCTTGGGCTCTGATGCCTGGGGAGCCTATAACTGCCTCCTCTCATTAGCACACAGTCTTCGTTATTGCTTGCCCTGTAGGGAACAGGGAGGCAACTGAACCCTTCCCCTGGTGTCCTTGTCTGTCTGGGCATCCTGTGTGTGTGAGTGTGTGTGTGTGTGTGTGTGTGTGTGTGTGTGTTAGGGGTTGTGTAAGCCCCAGAGGCTAGGCTTCTTGCCAGCTGATGAAGTTCTTTTTCCCCAGAATTGAGTTAGTCACCCAGCCATTTTCATTCTCTGCCTGCTGCCAAGCTCTGTAGTAGAGTCCCCATGCCAGGTCAAAACTGTGCTCTGCTTTGGTAATGCAGCGCTTCCATTTTGAGAGATGGGAAACAGGAATGAGTGAGCACACATGTTGGGTGTTGGGAGGGTGGGGACATTCCTTTTGGCACAAAAGAATTGGCCCAGCTGCTTGGTTTTCACTCCAAAGTAGGGCTAACCCTGGACTGACCCCTAGATATCCAACGGGGAAACTGTTTTTGGAGCTAGACCCTACTAGACCTAGCAATCCATTTTTCTAATCTGCAAAGTGAGGATAATAAATTCGATTCCGTATGTTCTTCATGTCAAATGAGAAATAAATAGTCCACCGTCTACTTGCCAGGAGCAGGAAGTGGCATAAGGTTGTGATTCTTCAAGTATATCCTGCAGAATACTAAGTGTTATATAAAAAGAGTCACTCGCTAAATAAATTTGGGAAACACTGGGTACACAATGGTAAGTAGGTTTCTTGTCTGTAGGGACCACTCAGGTCCTTAATATACCAGTAACATGCATGGTGATTCTCCAAGGCAATATATCACATGCCACATTTCTTAAAATTTTAACCAAACTTTCTCAGTGGAGCATTTTTCAAGTACCATCTCTACAAAATACCCTGTGGAAGATTTTGATCTGGGTCAGAGGAATATTCATTTTGTTCTTTTTTCTGAAACTGTGAAGAGAGGTGGGTTGGTGAAATGCGAGGGGCTGCTCAAATGCGGGTCCTAAAGAGCAAGGGTGTTCAACTGCAGACTCTGTTGAAATGATGCTTCCTGCTCTGAAACGCCTCTCTCCCTCCTGTCCTCACAGCTCCCCTTTGAATTGGAGATTTACTACATCCAGCATGTTATGCTCTACGTGGTGCCCATCTACCTGCTTTGGAAAGGAGGTAAGGCCAGCAAACCGCATCCCTATGCTACCCCCAACCTAACCTCTCCCTTCTGTTTTTGGGAGTCACAACCTCTTGGGTGTCCACCAGGATCTTCAGCTGCTGCTTGGCTGGGTTTCTTCAGCACGCTTTATGCCAGACACCAGGCAGTGGGGAAGTGGGCATGTTTGGGGCCTGCAAGGAGTCTGGGGGCTTTTCAAAACCGTCTTTTGTTGGGTGAACATGGTGCCACTGACTGCCTGTCTTAGGGCCTGGGCTTTGGGCGCTTGGTGGTGGCATTGGGGTTGCATGGAGCACCCCCTTCACACTCTCTTGCGCTTGTGCCTTCCCTGGCCTCAGTGTGCAGTGTAGGGGAGAAGGAGAGAATGAAGCACTCAGTCCCCTCAAGAGAGGGACCTTGTGCTCTCGCTCATTATGTCGGTCCTCTCAGAACCAAAGAAGATATTGAAAGAGACAAGAAGTCCAGAGACTAGGGGGATGGTGAGATTGAGGCAGGTGAGAGAGCAGTGTCCTTTATATAAAAGAAACCATTAGAAACCTTCACTGGGTCAAGAGGGAGGGACCACCAACGTGGTAGAGACAGCCTGGAAAGGAAGCTGATCTATTTGTGACTTCCCAGTAACCCTTAAATTATCCCTTCCCTCCATTGTGTAGCAGACAAAAGGAAAGCGTTATTCCTGTGCCCTCTAGGTTTGTAGTGAGAGCCACTCCTCAGTGTTCTGTACTTTCCAAAAGGCCCTGTACCTGGAAGACATTCTCTTTCAGGCTTGGCCACCAGCCTCTTTATCTTGGTTGCAGGGACTTTTCTGGGAGACCAACCCCTCCCTACCTCACCCCAGGCAGCAAGGATTTCATGTTCTACTGCACTATAGCTGGCATGGGACCACGTGGGCCCTTAAGCCCACTGGAAGATGATGTGGAAGTCCCACTGGGCTCTGCTGCTTCTTGGCTTACGCTTGCATCCTCTGACTCAGGCATTCTGGAAAATCTTAAGAGCTTCTGGCATGAGATAGCCCCAAGGACTAGTCACCGCAGGAACATGGTGGAGGATGGGCGCCTTTGCTCTCCATAGAGTCTACTTACAATAGACGAATTTGTCTCTTATGCTCTGGTTTTTCCATAGACTTGTCTAAATATTCTTTGAGGCTGCTTTTACCCTGTGCAGCCACTTGGGGTCTCACAATGTCAGAGAACACTAACTCCTTTTAGTTTGCTCTAAAAGCACTATTTTCCCCACTAAGTTTTAAGGAAAGTATGAAGTTCCAGTATCCAGGAGACTTGTGCCATTTCTCAGGTCTGTCCCCTGTGGCACAGGAAACAGCTTCCTAATAATACTCAAGTCTCAGACATACACCCCTTCTGAACAGAACCAGGCAGGCAGCTCTCCCAGGACTCCAGACCCCCAGCACTTGTCGTTCGTGGTTTCTGAGACATGTGATGGGGGGTCTGGCCAAGTCCATATGGCTGTTATTTAAACCTCTTTGTACTCTGAGTTCACCATAAAAACCTGTCAGGGAGCTGGGCTAGGCTGGTTTCACTGGAAAATACCAAGTAGCCATTCTCCTCCCTCCAAAAGAATAACTGGAGAAGACACTTGGCTAGACTTGGCTCATTCCACTGCAGACTTCTTTTGGATCTATTGCTGTGCTGTTTGGGGGAACCAAGCTGAGGAAGTAGGGATTCCAAGTCTTTTATATATATATATATAAAAATACCTTCTCAGACAAGATTCCAAGTCTTAATTCCAATTTATTTCCTACTCTTAGTGATTCTCTCCCTTCTCCTCTGGTGCCTGGCCCTGAGAAGGGACTGTAATAGCAACAGTAATAATATCCACAGTAAATATCAGTGACTGTTTTTTATTTGCTGTGTGCAAGATATTGTGCTAGGCACGTTTTATGTATTTTCCCTCACAAATAACCTGTTGAAGAATCCTCCTTCTACAGAGGAGAAAATCAAAAGTGCAGAAAACATTGGGAAGCTTGCCCATAGCCAGTAAGTAACAGGGCTAGGATTCACAGCCCAGCCTAGACTCCTTCCCAAGCTGGTGCTCTTTCCTAAAGGACAGATGTCTGCCTCCTGACCTTCAGCCATTCGCTCAACACATATTTGTTGAATACCTACTAAGTGCCTAGCATTTGTACTAGGGAATCGGAGACAAACCAGAAAGACATAGTTCTTCCACAGGGAGTCACTGTCTATTGGGGAAGATAGACAACTGTCATTGCAGCATGATAAGCACTGCACGGGGTACCGTGGGAACGGAATATGACTTTAGAAGTCTAGTTGACTTTCCCTTCTTCTTCACCATTTCTGGGAAGATAATTTTATCTTCTTAGAGCAGATCCTGCTTCCAGCCTGGTTCCCTAACTGCTGAGGTGAGAAATAGTAGGGCTGTAGTGAGAGAGACAATATGCTCTGTTACTGCTAATAACCTGTAGACACCCTAGCTCAGTGAGGATTTAGCTTGTAGGACAAGCTAAATGTAGTGATGTCATCAAGCTGACCTTTGACCCCAACTCCTGCATGACAGCATCCACAGCCCCCCCAGAACTTAATGGGCTGCATCACCTTCTATCTGGCCAACTTTCAGCTATTGCTAGGGCTCATCTCCCTTTCCAGCTCTTTGCTACCATCTGCTGTTCACTTGAGGGGAAGTAGGAGCATTGCAAGAAAAATCTAGATTTCTTCCTAAGGATAGTTTCACCTTTGGTCCCGAGACTTGGACCTCGGAGGAATGGATCTGGAGTGAGCAGTGGGAAGATTGTTTTTCTGTAAACCAAGAAAGCTGAGGGTTTCAGGCTTCTGTTCCCTAGAAGTCTCTTGTAATTTTCCAGAAATAAATGGCTTAGGAGTTTTTACTCTAGACAAGACAGCTCTCCTACAGATAACTCCTGTGCCCAGGAACCCCGTTTTTGAAAGACAAGGTCCTGCTTGAGCACGTAGTTTCTCTTCCTGTGGTTAGAGTAGGTGGGAGGCACTTCATGGGAATTCCACTCCTCCCCCCATTCCTGCAGTCCTTAGGCACCATCCCAGCACACGGGACCTCTCTCGGCCACACTGCTCTTTTCTTCCTCTAGCCTGGCTCTTCTTTTCCTGTTTCATTTCCTCCCAGCTCTTGCCTTTGGCCCTCTGGAACTACATTCCTCTTTTTCTTTGTGTGTGTGTGTGTGTGTGTGTGTGTTACAGTCTTTATTTTTTTAATTTAACTTTTTATTGGGTGCTGACAAAGTGTAATTGCATCTATGTGTAGGGTATCAAGTGATAGCATGATATATGTATACAATGTGGAATGATTGAATCAAGCTAATGAACTCTATTTCTTACAGTCTCCCCACCCCCACCAGCAGTTCCTCACAGAACATGGGGGCCTTCCTGTCTCTTGCCTGCAGCTCCCCCTAATGGAGGCTGCTCTTTCTGCCCTGTGCCCCCAATGCCGCCCAGCTCCCCACAGTCTGTTCTAGAGCACTATTTCATCTCTGCCTGATGGGAAAACGCTTTCTCCTTTACCATTCTCTTTATTTCTTTTTTCAGCACCACCATCACTTGACTTCTTGGTCACTTCCGCCACATTCCTGGAAGTCTCTGGCCCGTGGCTCTCAATATTTCCATTTCCACTTCACCCCGAGTCCTGAGCAACTTCCAGGCAGCACCACTCCCACCCACCCCCAGCTTCTCAAGGTTTGGGCTTCTTAATTGCAGTGACTTCCACGTTCCCTTCTCTTCAGCCTCCTGGACCATGTTTTCCCCTACAGCTCCTCTGTGTGAGATCATAAACTGCTATGTCTCTTTCTTTTACCCAAATATATACTGCTTTCAGCCTCCTTTCTTCCCATTCAGCTTGTATCACCATGACCTGTTACTGGAACTTTCCTCTCAGTAGTTCCTAAAAGTGTCTCACCCCCTTGTCCCTGCCAACTGGGATCAGCGTCCAATCCCTTTTTAGTGTGCCCAGTCTCAGCCCACTGAGAAACTCTCTTAAATCCTTCTGATTAAGGCCCCTAAAATTTCATAGTCTCTATTATAATTGTGCTCTCAACACCATTGCTCAATTATTTTCTGTCCATGGGCAGCTCCTCAACATATTGCCCTCACAAGTCCTGTGCTAAACCTTTACCACTCTCCTCAAACTTCCTGTCCTCTCCACTCTCAGCAGATGTCCCCTTCCCCATAAATGGCTGAGAAAATTGAGATTTTTCAGGCAGGAATTCCCTCAGTACCCTTCTCCATTTCTACAAGCTTCTTTACTGACATCCATCCTTACTTACCTCCCTCCCGTCCTGGAAGAAGTGGCATTCCTCCTGCTCAGGGCTGATCACACCCCTGTATGGTTATCTTCCATGTCTCCTACCTCCTTTGGAGCCTCATGCCGTCAACTAGTCACTTGTTTACCTGGATTTTCCACACTTTCTTAGCTACCAGCTTTTCAGCTAATAAAAATGCTCAGGTCTTTCCCATTCTAAAATAACTGTCTCTTTATCCCACACAACTCTGTAGTTCCTCTTCCCTTTACAGCTGAGCATCTTAAAACAATAGTGCAAACGGTATTTCCTAAAATTTAGTTCTTCGGGCATGACAATTTTTGTCTTATGCATTTAACCATCTGTTTTATTATGTATATAATGTATGTCGTTAAATCTATCGATTTTTTTTTTTTACTAAATATATTTGCTTTTAAGAGAAACCTCATATTATCCAGGAAATCATGCTTTTGACTTACTGGTTATCTATTTTAACAGGCTTGAAATACATAGCTATTAAAATTGAAACATTTATCTGTTTGCCACCTGAAATCACTACCCAAAGTACGTGACTTTGGGGAGGCACTTGTGTCTGCATTTGAGTCATCTTCTTAGTTACCTTTTATTCCTCAGAACATCGCACTCTGACATCTACCCCTCTGCCAGACTCCTCACAGAAATGGTACTTCTAAAGATTGCCAACAACTGACCATCTGACCAAATTGGATGACCTTCTCTCAGTCTTTATCCTGCTGGAAC